CTGCTAAAATGCATTTGATGTACTTATAATTGTATTTTTATTAGGGGTTTTATTAATGTTATGTGACATGATATAAGAGGGTTTTCCAACACACAATAATGGAGAGAGAGAAAGTAGAATGATGAAAGAGAAAGAAAAACATGTGGACCCAACCTCTTTAATGTGTGTGTAGGAAAGTGAAGTTATGTTATGTAAAATAATAAACATAAAACCCTTTTATTAGTCCAAGATTTAGAAATAGCTTATAGTATGACTGATCCGAAATGTATTGAATAATAATTGAGAAGCATGTTTGAAATTATCCTGTCAATATCGATAAAAAGAACATGAACTGCACGACTCCAATAGTTAGCTGGTTTGGCTAAGTCATAGGCTACAGAGCCATTTCCATATCAAAACAAAAAAGGCTTGTTCGATATAAATGTGAGAGGTCATTTTCCTTTTCATAAATCTAGTAATGCTTTTATATTTTAAAAATCATTTTTAATTCAAAGTTGAATATATATGAAAATTTCTAATATATTCACGGAAGGGAGCTATTTGCGAATAAGGCCAATTGTTAAAATAAATGATAAATTAAAATGAAATGTTAAGATTAGGTTGTAGAAATGATTAGTTAATGTACTAAAAATACTTGTTTGTTATCGTTCAAAAAATTCTAGTTATATTTTTCAACTTGAATGATAATACCTAATTTAAAGGAGACAAACTTCCACAAATTTCATTCAATAAAACACAATTCATTTTGAGGAGTTTTACACTTTACTTACCCTTTAACCTGATTAGAAAAATTCGATTAGAGTGAATTTCGTGCTGTTTAAAATAAAGATTTGAATGGTTAGTGGGATGAATCTCATCATATTTTTGGGTCTAGTTCAATTGTGTTTTTCAAGAAAAAAAAACTTTTTAATTCAAATGTATTATTTAAAAAATTTATAACACCCTAGACTTAATTAGAAAAATTTGATTCGTGCGAATTTCGTGCTATTTAAAATAAAGATTTGACTCCTTCTCAGTACAGTCTTAATTTCGGATTAAAATAAAAATAAAAATAAAGATTTGAGTGGTTAGGGATGAATCTCATCATATTTTTGGGTCTAGTTCGATTTTGTTTTTCAAGAAAAAGAATACTTTTTAATTCAAATGTATTATTTAAAAATATTATAATAGCTAAATAATTTTTTTTAAAAGAAAATAGCTTCAGTATTTTTTTCAAAAATTTTTAAAAAGTTATTTGTTAAATTTTTTTTTAAAATTCACTTCTTTTACTTATTCATACATTTAACGTCAGGATTAATTTTAAAATGTCACATCGTGGTCTTTATAATTAATATGTACTACTAATACACTAGCGGCCAAGTTTTACCTAAAAAGAAGACTACTTTAAATTATGAGTTTTATAAGAGTTATGTTGTAGGAAAAGTGATTGTGTTATGTTATAGAGATTCGTTTTGCGTGCCGAAGTTTTTTTTTTTTTTTTGCTGCGAGCCCTACAAAATATTGTGTGTGTAGAAAACTTTTTGTGGTCATGTTAAATGATAGATGATAAACCCATAAATTATTCATGAATAGTGGATTATATAACCGTAGGCTTTCTCCCTAAAATTAAAGGGTCATTTTGGTATTACAGTTTTGCTAGTAGTCTCGTGTTGGTTTGCTTCATGTATGTTTAGACTTGAAAGTTAATTAACAAATGATGATAGTTTACTTGACGCTATAGAATTGAATAGGTGAGGATAAGAGGATGTGTTTGATTCTCTCAAATATTATCTTTAGGAGAGTAATTTCGATATTTGTCCCGAAACGAACTAGTTATGAAACAATGAACAGATTGAAATATCTCGAAAAAAAAAAAACACTTGAAACCTGATCAACTTGCATCATTTAGGTGCTTACTGTCAGATAATTAAGTTCCATTTGAATATTGTTTCTAATAAAAAATTTTGGTCTTCAGAAAAAAATAATCTATTTGATAAGATATATTTTGTAAAAAAAGTCTTAACTATATATAAATCTATAATTTATATTAAAAAACTATAAATATAATTAAATACATGTAAAAAAAATGATACCAATTCCAAATATTTTAATATAAAAAATAATAAATTATATATCATTGTCCAACAAAATATAATCGAACATATAATTCTTGTGATATTGGTGTTTCAGGTTCAGTAAACAACATCTTTAACTATAAATCAAATCTAAATTCCCTACATATTGCATAACCAAGATAATATTAGTATCAAAGATACATAACCTATGTAAGTCAATAAGCAACACATCACTCAAATATTTCAAAAGAAAACAAACCATTTGTGCGTGAGAGAGGAAAAAAAAACATCAATTAATGAGAACAAACCATTTTTTTATGAACCGGGCTGAATCACCGGTTGAATCGATTGAGTTAGTGATTTTTACCAAAAATCGACCAGATCACATCGAATTCATTACATGGCTAATTAAATATGAAAACCAGACTGGTTATAGTAAATTCGATTTTTATAACATTACAGAAAACACCTATTTCCATAACAACGTAACTATTATAGAGTACGGATAAAAAAAATTACAACACAATCAAACATACCTTTATTTTCTTTTAACTGAATGCAGCTTACTTTTCCGTTGACTTAGAAGGACATAAAATGGATCTGTCCCACTACAATCTGGACCTAGATAATTAAAATATGGGAAAAGTGTGTATAATTTTGAAGGATGTAAAGTTGTGTCATTTTAAGAGAGAGAAAGAGATAGATTAAGGAGGAGAGAGAGTTGACAAAAAAATAAAGGTGTGGGTCCCACCTCTTTGTGAGAGTGAAAGGATGTAAGTTATGTAATTTTAAATGATAGACATTTTTCCCTTAAAATATATTCCTCAAGTTTTTTTTTCCCCCCCTTATATTGTTCCGAAACATAATAATAAGCGCAACCAATTCTCATGGTTCAAAGACCAAGAAATCATACGTTATCTTTAAAATACGGAATTTTATTTTGTTTTGTTACCTTTGCGTTAGTCTAGCAGCTTTGTAATTTTTAATTTTCGCTTTGTTGGGTTCCTTTCTCTCCCTAACAATATAATTATGCATTTTGATGCTTGAATCGGAGGAAGCCAACACGATGAAGACAATTTCCTCCTCTGGTTGTAAGTTACGTTGCTAGACTTCTGAACATGGAAGAAATGTTTGTTGGATTTACTGCTTAAAATCGTGATGGACCACTTCAAAAGTAATCGTATGTATAAACACACTTGCAAGGAAATTTCAGATAGATGGGGCGCGGTCATTGCATGATTCTTTGGTCCAGTTTTGAAAATATCAAATGTGTCTTAAATCCTTCATAGTACCAACCAGCTAGTCAAGGCCAGCAGCAGTAGAGTGGTCCATGAATCACCTGATTTTAATGCCTAGCTCTCTTATTTGGTAGTGTCTTCTTTTTCCTTTATATCCATTTCAGGTGTTGGTGGGGGAAGGAATCAGCTTGTGGACAAGAGGCCTTCTAGCTATTATTTGTTTTTGCCATTTACAAATATATATGCTGCTCCAAATCATGAGGCAAGCTTGTTAGAGCTTTGATTCAAGGAATTACCAAGTTAAGCAGGCTGGTTAAACAGTTAAAACTCTTTGAGTTGTACTCTCTCTCAGCTGTAAACTCAGACAGCACTCAATTTTTTCTTTCTTTTTTTAATTCAAAACAGCTAAAGTATTGCTTCTGCATATATATATTTGGATAACATTTTACCTAACTTTTCCCTCTTACAAAGGAATTCGAAGAAATGCATCTCATGATCACTACCAAAAGCAAACAGAGAAAAAAATAACGAATAAGATACATTAAGAAAATTCAAATCCATTTATCTACTTTGATACACATCCATTGAAAAGGACTATGTATATGTAATCTATGAGATATAGCAACTTTCAAAGAATAAAACAACATATGTGGGGTTGAGTCTATCTCAACTTAGATTGCAAAAAACCCTAACGATAGATACTGAAAGCAACCCTTCCTTGATGCAAGTCTAAGTCCCCTGGGTAGAATTTTACACCCAGAAGGAGGCATTGAGCTGTGGTGGACCATACATGACCTGTTCTAAAACATGCCCCCCCTCTTTAAGCACAATAACCACGCAAAATGTCTACGTACCCTATGCCTTGTCTTGGTTTCTTTCTGGTATAAATGCCTTCTTTCATTCTTAGGGCAACCTTTAATGCTTAAAGATGTGTACTGTATATTCGATTGCCATCCTTTGTTGGTAAAGATTTTCTTTTTAGATATTAACTTTTTATTATTTTTAATGCATTTGATTGATATATTATTTGAATATTTGAACACTTGTTTGCTAGCTCTAGGGCACACCAAAAAAAAAAAAAAAAAAACTAGAGCCAAAAGTAGTGTTATAGAGAATTAGTAGCATTATTACTAATATTTAATATAAAGGCAACATCTTTCTCATTCACATTTTCTACGCCCTTCCTTTCTATCATTTTATAAGTCTCAACCAAACCAGAAGAAGCTAGCTAGCAATTAGCAAATACCTGATTAAGCAACTCCCCACACCCTCACTCTCTCTTTTTAAAGTCACGAGACCCACTGCCCCTTTGTTCATTCCATTTTGTGTGTGTGGGAGAGATAAGAGAGAGAGAGAGAGAGAGAGAGAGAGAGAGAGGGGCGTGGCAGACGAACTGATAGAGAACTTTCAAAGCTCTTTATTTTCTACCATCACTCAACTAGCCTCTATATTGCAGTCCCAAACTGAAAGTCTCACAAATTTTGTAAAAAGCTTTAGTATTATCTTCCCATCTGAAAGAAAGATTGTTTGCCTCATATCATTTCTTTCTTTCTGTCTCTCTCTGTCGGTACCATGTAGGTCTTCCCCACTACTATACATTCACAACACCTTCTGATTGATTATCTTCTCCTTTTATCTCGTTCTTCAACTCTTTAACTCTCTCTCTCTCTCTCTCTCTCTTTATGACTTTGTAATTGTACCTTTACAGGAGACCAGAAGGAAACCCATTAGACCTTAACAACTTACCTGATGAGTACTCTAGAGATGGAAAACAAGTCCTCGAAGACAGCTCCTCACCCGGTAAACCTTTTTTTTTTTTTTTTTTATTAGTCAACATGCCATATATATACACTGAAAGATCAAAGCAACATATTCACTATATCACACACCATGGAAACGTTCTTTTTGGTTTTGTCCTCGTTCTTCCTTATTCATGTGTTTTTTTTTTCCCTTTTCGTTGTTCACTTCCTCCTCCTCTTCTACTAGCCTCCTCTACCTGCTTTTTTAAAATTGGAAGGTAAACATCATGTTGCAAAAGGAGATAGAAGAAAAAAGAAAACAGAAAAAGGGTAGTTAATAAAATTATAAATAAAACATTAGTTAAATTTATTCATGATTTGGGTAATCGGGAATCGGCTTTAAGGGAAAGAAGGGTCTCATCGAAATTGCTTTAATTGGATGTTGTCGTTGCAGGTTGCAGGAAAAAGAAAAGCGGCGGGAAGGATGGAAAAGACGAGTGTGGGAAGGTCTACGAGTGTAGATTTTGTTCCCTCAAGTTCTGCAAGTCTCAGGCTCTTGGGGGACACATGAACCGCCACCGCCAAGGCTAGTCCTCTAGTTTTGTTCCCTTTTCCTTTTCTCTCTCTCTCTCTCTCAAAAGAAACCAATCGATAAATCTTGATGTAATAGCCTTAAAATATGTCCAAAACAAATAAGAGAAAATGGGGGACGTTGGCCGTTATTGATTTGGCCATGAAGCGTTGTCATTTCAAAGACAAAAAGTTGTGGGATTGCTGAAATTCTTGGTTTTGAGAGGGCCCTGGTTTTTTTATTTATTTTTTTATTTTTTTGTTTCTTTTTGCTTTGCTTTGATTTTATTTGTTTTTGTGGGTTTTGTTGGGTTTGGCTGCAGAGAGGGAAACAGAGACGCTGAACCATGCTCGTCAGTTGGTCTTCCGTAATGATCATAACCTTGCTGCACAAGGTGCCACTCACTTAGGGTATGCACCTTTACTATTTGCTTTTCTTTCTCCTTTTCCTCTTTCAATAGTACTTTCCTCCCCCTCCTCCTTCTTCTTCTTCTTCAACATGGGATATATATTACCTATCTTTTAACAGTTCTTCTGAAATAATACTAATTGGAACAAGTTATGGACATTCGAATTTCAACCCCATCAAACTAATTTTACTCTTGGCTCTTTAGTTTTTTTTATTTTTATTTTTCCCAAGTTGAAACACATAATTAATGTAAGGCACAACACTGTTTGATACGAATTGTGCATGATATTCAGATGCTGCCAACCAATAGCAACAGGGGGTTATCATCCATCAGGTAACATGGGAGACCCAACAGCACCTCTGAGATTCCCAAGATACTTCTCTGGTTCATCCTCAACCCACATACCACCGCCACCGCCACCGCCTCCACAACCATATTTATACGCTTCTCCTTCAAGGCCAGTGTCTTTTCCCTCACACTTCACTCAGCATCCATCGGTGAACGATTACTGTGTGGGTCATGTCCTGAGTGGCCACCCCAACATTAACTATGTGGCGGGTGCAGCAGCAGCATCAGAGTCAAGTTACACCTGCATTGGTGCACCGGTGGGACAAGGGTTCGGAGGTGGTGTTGGTGTTGGTGTTGGTGTTGGTGGGCGAGGCTTGGATGGTGGTAAGGACGGGTCACTGCAGAATCAGGAAGAAGGATTGAATTGGGGAAGGAGCTATTCAGGAGCACAGCACCGTTTGGATCCTCATTCAGCGATCAATCGGTTTCAAGATGGTTTCTAATGAGATTCTTTGAGTGATAGTGTTTTGAGTGTATCATAAAGACACGCTATCCAGAGTGAGTGAGAGAGAGAAAGACATAACAAGCTGACAGATGGGGTCATCTCATGAGAGGGAAGAGAGAGAGAGAGAGATGGTTTTGGTTTATCTACAGTAACTGGTGACAGCTTTTGAGCTCATGGACACGCTCAGCTAGTTTGGCTTGGAGCTGTGCGGGTAGGATTTGAAGATGGGCTTTTGTATTATTGGTAGGACAACAAGTTAGATATGAACTGAAAGTTTCCAAATCCCCTTTTTGCATGGCAACAAGGGTTTCCTTTTATTTTTTTTATCTATCTTATTATGGTTTATATATATATATATGGGTGTGTTTGTCTTGCCCTTTTGTTCTTGTGTTTAATTTTGTGGCTTTCGCAGTTTCACACACACACACACACACCGACTTCTTTTCCCATTCCAAATACCCAAAAAACCCCTCCGATCCCTCTCCATCGCTCTCACTCTATCCAAAAACCAAAATTGGGATCTTCTAGTTTCTTGAAATGCTTATGGTCTCAGTGTCACACCATGCTTGCACAATTAAGGTAATGCCACAGAGAGATCCAAGTCTGGCTGGATGCTTCCTCAATAGGATATTCAACCAATCAAACCTCCTAAGTATCTAATTTCTCCTTAAAGAAAGCTTTACCCTCCCTCCAATATTTTCATAACATATATTGTAAATAATTATTTTTAACATTTTCAAATATAGATTACTTGCAGAAAATGAACAAAACACTATCGATCGAGGAGCTTCTCCCAAATGCAGCAGCTTAATTAGAGAAATACTGCCTTAATTAACTAGCTCATGATTATTCTTGCAACAGTAAAAGTGCATGTAAAACATGTGTAAGTAAATGAAACCATATTAGCATGCTTTTTCACTTCTTTTCAGTACTTTTATTTGCCAACAAATTCTTTTTTCGGAAACGAATCTAGTTTTCTTTGTTGGTTGAGTATTCTTAACGTATATAATAATTGAGGACATAATTATAGGAAAGTTGGTCATACAAAATATTTAGAATTTTTTTTTTTGTTTGGTTCAACCAGTCCTATATCTTTCAATTATGTAAGTTTGGTTCGTGTTTTTATTCCGATAAAAATTATCACACGTAGTTTAATCTTCACATGTTATTTTTTTTTGGAGAAATTTAAATATCTTTATCTTTGTTATGCTCCACGTTCCGAATTAGTCTTATAAAATCAAAACTTATAGCGATACAAGAGGAAGCAAACTTACCTCAAATAGATAATAACCGTTGTGTTAACTAAAAAAGCAGACTAGGAAAGTATTTTACCTTCTCAGTTTTAAAAAGAGAAGAGAAACTATTTTTCCAAATGTAGTTAAAAGAAAGTTAAAGGAATAAAAATATTATGGTTACTCTGAACGAGGAACTTTATTTTCACCTGCATCCCCAAACAAAGATATAATCATATAAGTGTTCTTTTACTTTGTTTTTCCCCCTCCGCATGCATATATATTGTTATGATTAGAATTGACTTTTAGATCATATTCAAATTACAAATTTATTTCTAGCATAAAACAACAGTTTAAAATTTGTTAAAATTACAAAAATAAATTAAAACTGAAGTTTTGAGTTAGATTTTAATTTAATTTGTTATATAAATATATTATATAATTTTAAAAAAATATTATAACCGTGATTTAAAATTACATAAATAAAAATATAATTAATGTTTCATTAACAGTACGGTGGTGATATAATACCGGTGGTGTTGGTAACCGACAGAGTTGGCGATAAAAGTCGTGGCAGCAAATTACGATGACGCGTACGAAGGTGGTGGTAATGTTGACAATAATGTACAAATATGCGGTTCTGCAAATGGAACACGGTGATAGTAGCAGTGACAGTGGAGGAGGTGAACATGGGGTGGTGTAAGGGCTAATTGTGGCAAAAATGGTTTCGAAAGGGAAGGTGATGGTTGCCGTGACAAAATTGATAGTGTAGTGTCTACGGTGGTGACAGTAGCAACAGCATTATTGATTGATGCGGTGCAAATTTAACGGTGGTGAAAGCAAATGGTGGTAGCTAATGGTTACAATAATGTTTGCCACAAGAATAATCATTTTAGCTTAATCAGTAGTTTTAAACTTATAATTTTGAATTTGTAGTTGAGTTGAATATTTGGTAAGAAGAAATTTGACGTCTTTGAAGTCCTGTCCGACTCGACTGCATTAATCGCACAATTGATGAAATGAATGAAATTGTCCCGGAAAAAGATATTATAGCAACAAGATATATCATGATAATAATCAGCAAGATGAAATATATAGAGGGAAATATATAAATGTAGGAATAAAAAAGCTTACATTTATTCATAAATATTTATTCACTTATATATATATATATATATATATATATATATATATATATATATATACATATATATATAGGGCAGGTTATATTTACAAACTTTTTTGTTTACAAACTCTTACAAACTACATTAAGTACGACCGGTCATACTTTAATCATGCAGTGTACGACCGGTCATACTTAATGTAATTTGCAAAAAAAGTTTGTAAACAGATCATATCCCTATATATATATATATATATATATATATATATATATATATATATATATATGGGTTTGCATTTGTCATTTAACATCACACAACAAACTTTCCTACACACACAATATTTGTGGGGCCCACACTTTTTGAAGAAAAAAGAAAAAGAAAAAATTATGGCACGCAAAACGAATCTCTATAACATTACACAATCACTTTTCCTACAACATAATTCTTATAAAACCCTATATATATATATATATATATATATATATATATATATATATATATATATATATATATATATATATATAAAAGTTACAATCTAAGTAGTATATATATACTTTCATGTATCTGGATAATCCATGAGGTTTAAAGCCCATAAAGGATCCAAGAAGGCGTAATGATCCCATTATACAGAATACATACACCAAGTATTGTTATCATGTTAAACCGTCTTATATAACTTAAAGACTAAGGAAAGTCTTAGTAACGAGCTTCCACCGCACGTAAAGGCCACCACAAGAAAGATAGCTCCTGCTTGCCACTACTCTAAGAAGACAAGCTATTACATAGACTTGTTCACTAAGGAAATAGACAGAAAGACACAACAACCAATAAGAAGGTGGCAGCCTACAAAAGGCGGCACAAAACTTACTATAAATATGAAATGAACAAATTCAGGTATGATAATCTAATTCTAATAAACTATAACATATACCTAACATTGATACTAACTTGAGTGTCCAAGTGTCTTTGTAGATACCCCAGTCACTTTCATTGCGCCAGAATCTCTCACAGCCCTTACAAGAAGAAGCACATACAAATATAGATTCAAGCTCATTTGTTAGCCCAAAGTCTTTAAACTTCAATCGTGTGTGATTTGACCCGACCAATCTTTGATGGGTCAAATAAGTCTGTAATATTTAACATAAAATTAATATATTTTTTCAAAAGAAAAATACAATATTTCAGTTTTTGAAATAAGTACTAAAGGAATCCCATAATTCAACATTGCGATTCAATTATAACAGCCTAGTGTCACAATTTCATTTGGAGCAATAAAGTTGTACTTCTGTCCGGAAAGCATTTGGTTCAGAATATTATACCAATACTATACCAATGACAATATCTTTGGGAGTAATTTACGATAGCACTTGGGCAAACTATAAATGTTAAGAGACACCTAGGTAGTATTAATTAGCTGTAAATAAAGTTGGGTCTTAATGCATGTGAAGTAAAACTTCCTTATAAGTTATTTTTTCAAAAAAAAATTCACATTGCAACTGGTCTAGTTTGTTTAAAATTAAAAAGAAAATATTCCGTTTTTTTATTTTAAAATCTTCTATTTAAACCTTCACTATAAATTTATAAAAAGATTGCTTGCAAATAATGGCATGTTATCTGTTTTCTAACAATTGTAAACGGCGTTAAAACATCTCTGTATCTTTTGACAAATATATAAGTTAAAAATACATTATTATTTTTTTTTAGAAATATTCCAATCGGTTCATTGTTTCGCAACTAATTCGATTCGGAGCGGGTCTAGCATTAAAACTCTAAACCCGTCCCAAAGAGTTATTTGACTTCAACTAAATTAAAGCAAAACAGCAGTACATAACTGCATTCGCTCTTCTACTTTAGTCAGAGTTCTGCGGGATCCCTAATCAAATCTCCCTCAGTTAATTACTTGACCAGATCGCGGATAAGGTTTGTATAAAAAATCAATTTAACCTAAAAATTTAAGTTAATAAGTGAAGAGTCCTTCAATAATTTCTATATTGTATATATGTGTCTATCCGTTTGAGATTCAAACCTCACAAAAAATTAGAAACTTTAAGCAGAGTGTTCTGATTAATTTTCTTTATCCATCATGAAATATTAATTCAAATTTGAACAGTGTAGGGTAATAGCTGGCTAACCTCTTAAAATCTTTGTATGCCTATAACTGAGGTAGCTGTAGCTAGCTTAAGTGATTGGATAGAACCCAAAGATTACTGAGACATTTCAGGCGGCCTAAGATGCATAGGCTTGAATTATAGACCAAACCCATTTTTGGGCAAGCCATGGTCATGCATGAGTGTGGGGACAGATATTAGGGTTTCAGGTGCTTAAAAGTGCAAAAACCTGAAGGATGGTGGATAACATAATAGCTATTAGGTAGGGACTTAGGAGCTACACGACAAAAAGATACAGACAGATTGAGATTGGTGATGCGAAGCCAACGAGAGCAGGTAGCAAGCCCTAAGCTACCATGTGATCTTGTGATTTATTAATAGCTAGGTTCAGCTGAGAGTATCCATGCAAGATGTTCGCGCCACCACTTGGTTTCAACTTCAGATATATATTGATTTGCCAATTAATGAAGCTACATCTTGGGCCCATTATTCATATTTTACATTCATCTCTGAGGACAAGAGAAACATGAAAAG